ATTATAGCTATATCTTTAACAGCAGTGCGTAGTTACTTTTACATTGAATTCCTGCTTTAATGAAGTGGATATTCCTGTGGGTCAGTGACTAAGCATCTTCATATGTCTCCTTTATCAGATTGGTAATAAAACAAGTATTCACTCTGGCCGAGTCACATTCATCAGACCAGTTCAACCTATCATGAACAAGCAGGTTCCAACACCTTGCTGTCAGACATAGTTGAGATTCAGTATGATTGGTGTAAGACCATCTTTGAGACTACGCTACACCAATCACATTGCAATCACAGCCTGCTAGCATAGACAAGAGCTGGGCTAGTAGTACAATCAACCCTGTGTACCCCTCAGAATCATCATGTCAGTTTCTCCTCCTATAGACCACCATTTACCTCCATCTTATACATTCAGTACCAGTCAAAAGTTTGAACACACCTACTCATTCAAGTGTTTTTCTGTATTTTTAATATTTTCTGCATTGTAGAATAATAGTGAAGACATCAAAACTAGGAAATAACACATATGGAATCATGTAGTAACCAACAAAGTGTTAAACAAATGAAAATATATTTATATTTGAGATTCTTCAAATAGCCACCCTTTGCCTTGATGCCAGCTTTGCACATTCTTGGCATTCTCTCATCCAGCTTCACCTGGAATGTTTTTCCAACAGTCTTGAAGGAGTTCCCACATATGCTAAGCACTTGTTGGCTGCTTTTCCTTCACTCTGCCGTCCGACTCATCCCAAACCATCTCAATTGGGTTGAGGTCGGGGATTGTGGAGGCCAGGTCATCTGATGCAGCACTCCAGCACTCTCCTTCTTGGTCAAACAGCCCTTACACAGCCTGGAGGTGTGTTGGGTCATTGTCGTGTTGAAAAACAAATGATAGTCCCACTAAGCCCAAACCAGATTGGGATGGCGTATCGCTGCAGAATGCTGTGGTAGCCATGCTGGTTAAGTTTGCCTTGAATTCTAAATAAATCACAGACAGTGTCACCAGCAAAGCACCTCCACAACATAACACCTCATCCTCCATGCTTTACGGTGGGAACTACACATGCAGAGATCATCCGTTCACCCACACCGCTTCTCACAAAGACACGGCGGTTGGAACCAAAATTCTCCAATTTGGTCTCCATACCAAAGGACAAATTTACACCGGTCTAATTTCCATTGCTTGTGTTTATTAGCCCAAGCTGGTCTCTTATTATTATTAGTGTCATGTAGTAGTGGTTTCTTTGCAGAATTTCGACCATGAAGGCCTGATTGACACAGTCCCCTCTGAACAATTGATGTTGAGATGTGTCTGTGACTTGAACTCTGTGAAGCATTTATTTGGGCTGCAATATGTGAGGCTGGTAACTCTAATGAACTTATCCTCTGCAGCAGAGGTAACTCTGGGTCTTCCATTCCTGTGGCGGTCCTCATGAGAGCCAGTTTCATCATAGCGCTTGATGGTTTTTGCGACTGCACTTGAAAGTTCTTGAAATGTTCCGTATTGACTGACCTTCATGTCTTAAAGTACATGTCAAATGGACTGTTGTTTCTCTTTGCTTATTTTAGCTGTTCTTGCCATAATATGGACTTGGTCTTTTACCAAATAGGGCTATCTTCTGTATACCCCTCCCTACCTTGTCACAACACAACTGATTGGCTCAAACACATTAAGAAGGAAAGAAATTCCACAAATTAACTTTTAAGAAGGCACACCTGTTAATTGAAATGCATTCCAGGTGACTACCTCATGAATCTGGTTGAGAGAATGCCAAGAGTGTGCAAAGCTGTCATCAAGGCAAAGGGTGGCTATTTGTTTAAGACTTTTTCGGTTACTACATGATTCCATATGTGTTATTTCATAGTTTTGATGTCTTCACTATTATTCTACAATGTAAGAAATATAAAAAATGAAGAAAAACCCTTGAATGAGTAGGTGTGTCCAAACTTTTGACTGGTAGTGTACTTCAAAAGAATACTCTCTCTCAAACGCCATCAAATAGCATCCATGTCATCAGTAGCCCCCATCTTAAGAAAAAACCTCTCCCACCAATTGCAATAGAGTGTGTTCCACGTATAGACATTGGAGCAAATCCTAACAACCATTTAAGTCAAATCTTTACTTAGTCATACAGTGATGCCAATGGGAGACTAAGTGAAAATTTGACTTAAGTGGAAGTTCGGATTCACCCCATTATGGACATAAAAATCTATAGTGGCCAAAGTATGTGGCACGTAATTTACCTATACTTACAATTAACATTGATTTTAATGTACTATATTAATAGCTATAAAGCTAGCCACTTTAGGTAACAGGTGTGTGGTGGATTAAAGTAGGAGCAGAACTCCATCGAGGCGCTACATCCCTTCCTCCTAACACAGAGGCTATCCATATGGCGACACTGTAGTGGTCTAGAAAGAATAGTCAGTGGCTCAGCTCTAGCTGGCCATGGGGGACTGACTGTAGTGTGTGTGTGTGTGTGCGCGGAGTGCCTCTGTAAGCTGTTTAAGTCTGTGTGTTCATCAGGATGGCATCAGGCATCTGTTGGCAAAGCCAGGCCCAGATGTTCGTTCACACACACACACACACACGCACACACACACACACACACACACACACACACACACACACACACGCAGTCACACACACACACACACACACAAGGAAAACTCTCCAATCTGAGATGTCTTGATTAGCTTATCAGCAATTCATAAAATGGCCGAATATGAAGTAAATGATGCCATTCTTCAGCCGGAATGCCTAGAAAATGTCAAGGAAAATGAAGGCAATGTTTTAAATGGCAAACAACTGACATGTAGTTATAATGAAATCCTGAACTTGACCCCAGCAACTCCATGATCATCTTTCAGATGATTTCTTTCATTACAGTTACTGTTTCCCAATAAACCACATTTGTGAGGACGTATGATATTCATTGCCAATACAGTTACTATCAGGATCAATAGGAGATACATACCATAGACATTTGGCCAGACGAGACAAGACACTCTCCACTCTCCTTCCCATTCTGGACGGTTCCAATCCCTCCAACACAAACAACACACAAGGAAATAAAGAAGAAACAACAGAATCTGTACAAGTAAGTGCTCATCAGCAAAATACGGCATGGATACACTCACATTTAACATGGGCTCTCCAGAGAATGGACGTTTTGGTCACTTTTTTTTATCCCTACAGTTGTTTTATACACATCTACAGAAACAGTAATTTGTACATGGTCCTTTGTACATTTATTTCCAGATCAAAGTTCATTCAGGATTGTGACCCCTCAGCATTATATGTGTCCATCTCCATCACAAAATGCAAGCAGAGAGAGTTTTGTACATACATATTCATCCACATCACCTTCAATATGAAGATTTATTCTGAAGATATATTCATATTTAGTTAGAGATATACATATTTTTATATATTCTCAGAATCTGGGCGAGGCCGTTTCACTAGTCCTTTGGCAAGGCCATCTGCCCAGACATTGACAGGTAGTGTTAAGGTGAAAAAATGGAAGAGAGGTCTGAGTTCCCTGCTTTCATGGTGAAAATACTCAATAAGATATCAACAAATGTCTCAAAAGCTCTCCTTTCCCACCAGTTCAACTGTCGACCTTGAGGAGATCTCCAAGATGTCAAACGTTTCGAATGAAAAAAATATAAGGTGAGAAATGGTCAAACCAAATCAACCATACACCCCTGTATGCCTCTGTATCATTTCCTGTGTCTATATTGATCATGTATAGTGAATTTTAATTGCTTTCTTTCTACGCGCATTTCATACCGCTGCTCCTAGCCAGGCCAAGCATCCTCATTAGTCTTTGAAGAAGGCCTTGGTAAAATGACAAATCAGAGACCTTCTGATGACATGAACTTCCTCTTCAAAATGGCTTCCACTTAGTCCTCCTCTCCAGTCTAACATCATCCAGTAAAGATATACATCTGATATTCCCAGACTCAGCCTGTGGTTGTTGTGGGGTTAGATTACAGTACAATACGATCATATTCTATATACCATGGGCTCCAGATGTGAGATTACACAGATGATAGTATAGTCCATGGCCACAGATTAAGATGTGACAAAAGTGTCTGAACCCATGGAACTCCAGACAATGGATAGCTCAGACTAGGATGATAATTTTCCCAATCTGGATTCCAGGAGTATACTGCAGAACTCACAGATTAAGATTAGACAAAACATTCTCTGAACCCACTGAACTCTGGATCATAACTCAATATAACTCAGATTAGTGGAAGGTGATAGTTAGTTGGTATTGGTCTGGACCCTGGTCTACTGTTATAATGATGTTCCATTAGATGAGGATGATAGTCTCGACCCTGGCGCGTCCCGACGGGTTGGGGGTAATTCGGTGAGGGGTGTAGTCCTTCCTGCTGTAGTCCCTGCCTGCCCGAATGCTGCCCGACCCATGGCACGCCGCCCCCTCCAGTCATGCCATGGTGGTGGGCGACTGGCACTGGCTCATCTGGACCCGCATGGAGGCAACGTTACTCAGGATCTTCTTTTGGTGGCCCGCCAGGGTCACACCTATCCTGAGGAGGTCTCTGGAAAGAGGGAGAGGGGGAGAGGGGAAGGGGGTGGGGAGAGGGAGAGAGAGAGAAGGAGAGAGAGAGAGAAAGAGAGAGGGAGAGCGATAGATAGGAAGAGAGAGGGAGAGAGATAGAGGGGAAGGGAGAGGGAGAGAGATAGAGAGAAAGAGAGAGGGAGAGAGATAGAGAGGAAGTGAGAGCAAGACAGGACATATGTCAGTATTGCATCTGCAATGCCTCAACTGTGTGTACTGAAGAAGCAAGTAGATAAACAAACATTCATTTGGTGTCTAATACATTTACACAGATAACCAAAGCCCAGAGTAATGTCAGGACTGTCAGCCACTGGCTCTAAAGAAGAAAACAACAAAACCAATGTGTCTGCCTCTCTTTGATCGTTAACATCATGTTGCTATATTTTAGAAAAAACATTATGAAGCCAGAAAGATGCTATAAAACATCAAATGCACAGAAAGCGGTGTTTCTTAGGGCCAATATTTGGACAGGATTATCATCGATTTTAGATGAGATGTGCGTGTATACATGAATGCTTTCTCACGAGTGTTCATGTGTGTGTCTGTGTTTCTGTGTGTGTGTATGTGTGTGTGCAAGTGTTTGTGTGTGCACGTGTGTGTACTTCCGTGCATGTGTGCAGAGATTACAATTACAAAATACAATTACAAAATACAATAAAGATCAATGTTTCAAAATAAATAACAAAATAAACAACAAAATACTTGTATTTTATAATGTATTTAATTAAAATACGTGTATCTTGTATCTTAAAATACAAAAATACATTTGCAAGTAGCTGGCCCGAACAGCAACAACATTCTCAGTAACGGTTACAGAAACGTTTTACTTGCTAAAACTGTGATATGTTGTTGTTCATCTACCTTAATTGAGCAAGTCACACTGGAGTGTCTGCTAAATGACCAAAATGTATATGTGAAAATGAACATACAAAAATGAACTGCAAAGCACACTGAGTATTATTATTGGCCTTGTTTCGGGTCGGGGCTCATTCAAATAATACTCAGCATGCTTTGCAATTATTAATTTTTACATATCCATTCATATTTAGTTCATTTAGCAGACGCTCTTATCACACCATAGCGCCATCAGACTTCTGATACCAATGCACAGTGAAAGGGGGCCACAAAATGTGAACTCTATAAAAAATGGTGTAGAAAATGATTTTGTATTTTGAAAATACAAATTACAGCTCTCAAAAGTATTTTGTTACAAAATACATTGGAGTGTAGTTCAGCCCAGTGTAATACCAATTACAAAATACTCAGAAGTAATTTAAATACACATTTCAAATACAGGTAACAGAAATAATGCCTATCTTTGCATGTGTGTGTGTGTGTGTGTGACTCACTCAGAGGTCATCTGTGCCACCAGTTGCAGGGAGGTGAAGCCAGAGTTGAGGAAGTTGTCTCTGTACTGGGTCATCTTGATGGCTCCCAGCCACTCCCCCACTGAACTGAAGGTGTTGAAGTCTGGGATAGAACGGTCCAACAGGGGCTGGGAAGGCCTGACGGAGGAGAAGAGGAGAGAGGGAGAGGAGGAGAGAGGAAGAGGAGGAGAGAGGGAGTGGAGGAGAGAGTGAGAGGAGGAGAGAGGGAGTGGAGGAGAGAGTGAGAGGAGGAGAAAGGGAGTGTAGGAGAGAGTGAGAGGAGGAGAGAGGGAGAGGAGGAAAGAGGGGGAGGAGAGGAGAGTGAGAGGAGGAGAGAGGGGAGGAGGAGTAAGTAAGGTAAGTAAGGGAGAGAGAGGGGGAGAGATAAAGAGAGAGAAAGAAAGAGAGGAGAGAGATGTTTTGATTGTGCAGAGTGGAGGTATAGGCTTTGATGTAATATATACCAATAAATTAATGTTTATTTCAGTTTAAGGAAGTCTGCGTGTGCCTGGGTTGAGGTGTGTATGTGTACTAGCCACTGCTTTGAAGTCGTTGGGGTGAAAAAGTGAGAATGCATAGGTGTGTGTCTGTGTGTGTTTGGGGGGGGGGTACCCTACATATATTTTGCTATGTGTGTACTCACACTGCAGGGATGCTGGCCACTTGTTTGAGACTGGCTGGGTTGCGGATCATCTTGTCCAGGGTGTTGACGATGTCAGTGAAGCGTGGCCGGGCGTTGCGGTCCTTCTGCCAGCAGTCCAGCATGAGTTGGTGCAGGGCCGAGGGGCAGTCCATGGGAGGGGGCAGCCGGTAGTCCTGCTCTATGGCATTGATCACCTGGGGACAGAGAGGGGGGCAGAGGGTATTGTGAAGAAGGCAGAAGGTAGTCAGTGAGGGTCATGTTAGACAGGACTATTGTGGAGAAGGCAGAAGGTGGAAGTGGAAGGCAGTCATTAGAGGTTCATGCTATGTTTAAATACAGTACATTCGGAAAGTATTCAGACCCCTTGATTTTTTCCACATTTTGTTACGTTACAGCCTTATTGTAAAATGGATTAATTAAAACATTTTCCTCATCAATCTACACACAATACCCCATAATAACAAAGCGAACACAGGTTTTTAGAAATTTTTGCAAATGTATTAAAAACAAAAAACAGAAATACCTTATTTGCATAAGTATTCAGACCCTTTGCTATGAGACTCGAAATTGAGCTCAGGTGCATCCTGTTTCCATTGATCATCCTTGAGATGTTTCTACAGCTTGATTGGAGTCCACCTGTTGTAAATTCTATTGATTGGACATGATTTGGAAAGGCACACACCTGTCTATATAAGGTCCCACAGTTGACAGTGAATGTCGAGTAAAAGCCATGAGGTCGAAGGAACTGTCTGTAGAGCTCTGAGACAGGATTGTGTCGAGGGACCACCAAGACTCTTCCTAGAGCTGGCCGCCCGGCCAAACTGAGCAATCGAGGGAGAAGGGCCTTGGTCAGGGAGGTGAACAAGAACCCAATGGTCACTCTGACAGATCTCTAGAGTTCCTCTGTGGAGATGGGAGAACCTTCCAGAAGGACAACCATCTCTGCAGCACTCCACCAATCAGGCCTTTATGGTAGAGTGGCCAGACGGAAGCCACTCCTCAGTAAAAGGCACATGACAGCCTGCTTGGAGTTTGCCAAAAGGTACCTAAAGGACTCTCAGACCATGAGAAACAAGATTCTCTGGTCTGATGAAACCAAGATTGAACTCTTTGGCCTGAATGCCAAGCGTCACATCTGGAGGAAACCTGGCACCATCCCTACAGTGAAGCTTGGTGGTGGCAGCATGATGCTGTGGGGATGTTTTTCAGTGGCAGGGACTGGGAGACTAGTCAGGATCGAGGCAAAGATGAACGGAGCAAAGTACAGAGAGATCCTTGATGAAAACCTGCTCCAGAGCGTTCATGACCCCAGACTGGGGCGAAGGTTCACCTTCCAACAGGACAATGACCCACACAGCCAAGACAACGCAGGAGTGGCTTCGGGACAAGTCTCTGAATGTCCTTGAGTGGCTCAGCCAAAGCCCGAACTTGAACCCGATCTAACATCTCTGGAGAGACCTGAAAATCGCTGTGCAACAACGCTCCCCATCCAACCTGACAGAAATTGAGAGGATCTGTAGAGAAGAATGGGAGAAACTCCCCAAATACAGGTGTGCCAAGTTTGTAGTGTCATACCCAAGAAGACTCAAGGCTGTAATCACTGACAAAGGTGCTTCAACAAAGTACTTAGTAAAGGGTCTGAATACTTATGTAAGTGTGATATTTCAGTTTTGTATTTTTAATACATTTGCAAAAAATTCTAAAAACCTGTTTTTGCTTTGTCATTATGGGGTATTGTGTGTAGATTGATGAGAAAAAATCGATTTAATCGATTTTAGAATAAGGCTGTAACGTAACAAAATGTGGAAAAAGTCTAGGGGTCTGAATATGTCAGTGAAGTGTAGGTAGGTAACGTTAGCTAGCAAGATGAGATGGGATAGCCGCCCAGCCACACACATTGGATAATGTTTGAATGTGAAGATCTTTGCAATTCTTCAAAAGACATCGATAGCGTGTCCGACATTATATTGTTTCCCGTGCTTATTTTTTATTGATAAACAATTTTGCGTCAAGGAGCCTGTACGTCAGATGTGATGTCACGGTTAGCAGCCTGTCTTTTAGCATTGTGGGACGTGTCATCTTTGGGAAGACTGGAAATCAATAGACCCATGGTGAACCTGGGGACTTGTCTCTCCGGCTTGGTAAAGGAAAATAATGCCCAGGGAGGATCGCAGGTGGCCGGTCATAAGTATGGCGTTGATAAAGTAGGCATATTGCAACATCCTGATGGCACAGTACTCAAACTGCTCCAGCCCCCTCCCCGAGGTCCCTGAGAGATGCAGTTCTACAGCAAAGTCTACGCTGAGGACTGCGGCGACCCGTGTCTGTTGGACCTCCAGCATCACCTCCCTAAATACTTTGGCACCTGGTCCTCGCCTGAATATCCTAACGAGCTGTACCTGAAACTGGAGGACGTGAATCGGCGGTTCCAGAAGCCTTGTATTATGGATGTGAAGATCGGCCAGAAGAGCTATGACCCCTATGCCTCCCACGAGAAGCGGGACCAGCAGATCAAGAAGTACCCTCTCATGGAGGAAGTTGGCTTCCTGCTTCTCAGAATGAGGGTGTCAACTCTGACGAATATCACTCGTATGATCAATATTATGGGCGAGGCCTTCTCAAGCACACCATCAAAGATGGTTTATCCAAATTCTTCTCTTTTTTTTTTTTTTTCACCTTTATTTAACCAGGTAAGCCAGTTGAGAACAGGTTCTCATTTACAACTGCGACCTGGCCAAGATAAAGCAAAGCAGTGCAATAAAAACAACACAGAGTTACATATGGGGTAAAAAACATAAAGTCAAAAATACAACAGAAAATATATATACAGTGTGTGCAAATGTAGCAAGTTATGGAGGTAAGGCAATAAATAGGCTATAGTGCAAAATAGTTACAATAGTATTAACACTGGAATGCTAGATGTGCAAGAGATTATGTGCAAATAGAGATACTGGGGTGCAAAAGAGCAAAATAAATAACAATATAGGGATGAGGTAGTTGGGTGGGCTAATTTCAGATGGGCTGTGTACAGGTGCAGTGATCGGTAAGGTGCTCTGACAACTGATGTTTAAAGTTATTGAGGGAGATAAGAGTCTCCAGCTTCAGAGATTTTTGCAATTCGTTCCAGTCATTGGCAGCAGAGAACTGGAAAGAATGGCGGCCAAAGGAGGTGTTGGCTTTGGGAATGACCAGTGAGATATACCTGCTGGAGCGCAGACTACGGGTGGGTGCTGCTATGGTGACCAATGAGCTAAGATAAGGCGGGGATTTGCCTAGCAGTGATTTATAGATGGCCTGGAGCCAGTGGGTTTGACGACGAACATGTAGTGAGGACCAGCCAACAAGAGCGTACAGGTCACAGTGGTGGGTAGTGTATGGGGCTTTGGAGACAAAACGGATGGCACTGTGATAGACTACATCCAATTTGCTAAGTAGAGTGTTGGAGGCTATTTTGTAAATGACATCGCCGAAGTCAAGGATCTAATCCTCTAATGGGAGGAGTCTGAGAAAAGATGCCGTCGTTGCCAGTATCCTGAAGGTCCAGAACATCCTGCGATGGTTCGAGGTCCAGAGTCAGTTAACCTTCTACGCTAGCTCTCTGTTGTTTGTATATGAGGGCCTGCCCCCTCCCAGCCCTGAGGGCCATGTCTTCAGGGGCCCCCCAGAGAAGACTACGTCTACCGCTGACGCCTGCTGCGAGCCCAATGAAGAAGTACTGGAATACAACAACAACATCCGGGTTGCCGTGCCGCTCGACTACAGCCTGTCCACCATGTACACCATGTACAAGAAGGGCTGCACCCGGGGTCACCATGGCAAAGTCACCGCGACCGGCATCACCACGACAGGCCCAAACCCCCAGGAGGACAACAGCACGTGGAAGTGCCCAGGTCTGGTGCCAGCAGAGCAACCCAATGGCAACGGTATCAAAGCCAAACTGGAAGAAGAGTTTGGGGTGGGGGAGGGAGGCCGTGGGGAGCCACATCCAGAGTAGAGGGCCAGCGAAGTGGAGGTGAGGATGATTGACTTTGCCCATGTCTTCCCCAGCGAGAGCCAGGACCAAGGCTACATCTACGGCCTGAAACACTTGCTGGAGGTGCTGCAGCAGATCCTCCACCAATAACCTTCTCTCTCCAGTGGTTTGTCTCTGCCTGTCCATTGATCAAGTCAAGTGTACCCATCTGTGTTTTACTGTGTGAATGGAGGAGTTGTAGCGCCCACAGTCCAGTCCCTCATCCCCCTCTCCCTGTAATTCTCTGCACTATGAGGAAGTCAGTTCTCCAGAACTCTTTGTCCGATGTATGTGCTTCTTGATTTTTAACCACTGTTAACCGTTATCTAACTCAGGGAAACTACTGTAATCAATACTCACAGTCTTTTCAGATTTCACGTCCTTTTGTCCTAAATGTTGACAGAATGATTTAATTTTTATCCAAGTTATTATACTCATACAGTGCAGGTTAAGTCATTTTAGAATTGTTGTTCTCTATTTATTTTGCTGCCAAATTGTCTTCTTAAAACCTGTGTCCTTGCAGTGTTACTTGTACATGGGGCGGCAGGTAGCTTAGTGGTTAAGAGCGCTGTGCCAGTAACCGAAAGGTCGTTGGTTCTAATCCCCGAGCCTACTAGGTGAAAAATCTGTCGATGTGCCCTTGAGCAAGGCACTTAACCCTAATTGCTCCTGTAAGTCGCTCTGGATAAGAGCGTCTGCTAAATGACTAAAATGTAAATGAATACTTTCCGAATGCACTGTATGTTAACTCATGCAATGATATCCTGATGCAATACTCCTTTTATAATTTTTGGTATATTCCTGTTGTCGTTTTTGAAAAAACTAAATTACATTTGTACACATTGATACCCATTGATTTTATATGTAATAAAACATATTTGAACCCAGAGGTTCATGCTAGACAGGGTTCTAAATAGGGCTGCTCAGAGTGACAAGGTAGGTGGACCATTGCCTGACAGTACCATAGAGAAGGCCAATTAAGAAGACATCCGAGACTAGTCACTAGACTCCAGTTCATGATCACAGGAGATCAATAATGTGCAGTAAATCAGAGAATTGTAGGAAAAGCCAAGATTTATAGAAACCTTTCTGCTTCCCTTTCACTTTCCCTCTTCCTCTAGACCCCTTTGCTAAATCACTGTACCACCAGGCCCTCATTTCTCCGTTTCATTTTGTGCTATCAAGTGTTTAGTGAGCAATTCACTTAGCGTCAATCTCTCTCTTTATCTTTCTGCTTCTCTCTCTCTCTCTCTCTCTCTCTCCCCCTCTCTCTCACCGATTAATCTACAGACAGCACTCAGGCTGAGGTGCACTTCCTAGTTGACACTACCGAATCACACGTCTGTATAAAAGGATGGAGAGGACCTATACTCTGACACTGTGGGAAAGTGTCTTGGGAATGGACTGAGTGCATATAATGAATGTGGTGAAATGCAGGTACTTGACACTTGTCCCGTAGAAACTGCAAAGGCTACGAAGGCCTGATGGTAGCTAAGTAGTACTGTACCATAGCTATGCTGCACATGGCCTTATACAAAGACAAGAAAGGGTTTTCGATAGAAAGACAAATGTTCGCTCCCTCTCTAAATCATAGCATGTTCATATGGTATACCGTATGATGGATTGTTACCCCTTGTATGTAGATGCAATCTTTCAAATGAAAAGGTTGAATCAGGGAAAAGTCAGGAAAAGCCGACATGGGATAGAGATTCTAGGGTGTAAAAATGAATTATCATCAGAAATGGGACGATGCTCTATAGGTGCCCATGCTACCACTGAGAGCAGTGCAATTCAGCAGAATCTTGACAAATGGTGCATATGGGGAAGTGTGTGTGTGCATGTGAGTGCATTTACATGCATGTGCAGGTGAGCATGTGTGTGTGTGTGTGCATTTATCATAGGTGTGTAAGTGGGCATGTGTACTGTATGTGCACACAGACTTGTGTATTTGTGTGTGTGTCAGGGATCATGTGTGTGTGAGCCTGTGTGTCTGTGTGTGTTTTGTGTGTGCGAGTTGGCATGTGTGTTATTAGTGTACATGGATGTGTGTGTGTGTTCTCCCTGAAGAGAACAGCAGGCTATGCTGTGAGCAGTGCCAGGCCTCCTCCCTGTGTGTGTGTCCCATCAGTTGCTGCCGGCATGCTGGCCCAGAGAGGAAACATCTGCTGGCTTGGCCAGGCCTGGTGGACCAGGCTCCAGAGAGACCCGTTGGCCGGCTGGGGATATGGAGCTCATTGGTGTGTGTGTGTCAGGGGTGCGGGGTGTTTGTGTGTGTGTGTGTGTGTGTGTGCACATGGTGATAGATCCCATTGTGTGAGATTCGTGGGACGTAGCAAAAAGAAGGACTGAGAGGAGGTAACGTGCTTGTGTGAAATTCTGCCTTTGTGAGAATCTTCTCATTGTCAAGGACATTTCCAGTGGGAATCCTCTTGTCTAGCTGAGTTGTTATGTCTGAGAGGGTTCCATTTTATGACACAATATAAAACAAATTGAAGGGTCACATTTCATCTGAATGCTCATTCATTGCCTCTGCTTTGGGGTCTTAGCCGGGTTACTGTAAAATCACTTTTGTGAATTTATAGAGGGCTTCATAAATTAATTTGATTGATTTGAATTTGAATTATATGACTATTTCTATACGCTTAGAACAACGTTTAAAAGTTCAACATGACAATAATACTCACATCCTGATTAGACATGTCCCAGTAGGGTCTCTCTCCAAATGACATCACCTCCCACATGACGATGCCGTAGCTCCACACGTCACTGGCTGAGGTGAACTTCCTGTAGGCGATGGCTTCTGGAGCCGTCCACCTCACTGGGATCTTACCCCCCTGAGAGAGAGAGAAAGAAAGAAAGAGAGGGGAGAGAGAGAGACAAAGAGATGGAGGAGAGAAGAGAGAGAGAGAGAGAGAGAGAGAGAAGAGGAAGGAGATAGATCAGATAGAGAGATAAGATATCGGATCGAGAGAGCATAGAGAGATCTCCTCTACGCGCTATCGATAGCCACTATACTCTAGTCTATCTCTCGCCCATGATTCTTCTCCCATTATAAAATACTACCTTCATTCCAAACCCTTTGAACCAAAAGTTAACTACAACCTCTCTTTCCCTCCACTCCTCCTTCCTCTATCCCTCCACTCCTCCTTTCCTCCATCCCCTATCGATCCAGAAGCAGGGAATTGTACCTCTGTTCCTCTTAACACATCGACCCACAGCACGTCTCTCCCTGTACCCATGAGTTCGAATAAGGGGGGTTTGGTTGGGGTTTGAGGCGCCTGTCGAGCGTGTCTGTTTGTAATTGGCCTACCTGGACCTGCAGCGAGCCATGCATGGCACTGATTGAAATTGACGGGTGGCTTGTTTAAGATTTCCTCTACACACACACACCTGTTTGTGGGCCCCTTGGCGGCTTCCATTGTATCCGTCTAGACCAGCTTAATAATGCCAATTAGTTCAACCTGTGCATGTGTAGATAAGCCGGGCTTGAAAGGAGAGACGGGAGAGCGAGACAAGGCCCACCCTGCTCTCCTGGCTTTCTCCCTCAGTCCCACCGGGACTCTGACCAGGAGATGTATTGTGTGTGTGTGTGTGAGTGCATGCATGCGCATGTGTGTAGGTGTGTGTGTGTGCGTGCATGCATGTGCAAGAGTGTGTGTGTCTGTGTGCAATTATGTGTGCGCTCGTGTCTGTGTGTGTGTATGTGTAGAGGTCCAGAGGATTCAGACTGAGCTCGTTAAGGCCCAGCTCAGAGCATTTGACCTCTGGGAGCTCCTAACCATCAACATGGTGGCCCGAGTTGTTACAGAGCAGGGAGGTAGGAGGAGGGTATGTGTGTGTGTGTGAGAGAGAGAGAGAGAGAAAAAGAGAGCGAGAAATAGAAAGCGTGTGTGTGTGCCTAAGAAACAATTTTATTTGAGAGAGAGAGAGGTTGGGAGTGTTCATATGTAAGTGTGTATTTGTGATTCGTTGAGGAAAAGAAGACTGAAGGATATCTATTTAAGCTCTGATGACTGTTATGCTTTTCTCATATCCCAGGCTTCTTCTTCTTCCAGTAACTGATGCTTCTCATCTGATCCCAGACACCAGAAGGCTCTATCTTTTTTTTTACTTCCGTTCTGTCAAAAGGCTATAGAAAAATACAAGATCAACTGCACCTATAAAAAGAAACCCAGCTCCCTCCATCTAATCTCTAACTTTGTTAGAGCCATGCTTCAAAGCGACTATTTCAACTTGGACACACACCAGCTGAAAATAACAATAAGAAATATAAATACACTGTCTCTACGCTTTGTATTACAGCCTCACATTTTAAACAAATGTATTTATAAAGCCCTTTTTAGATCAGCAGTTGTCACAAAGTGCTTTACAGTAACCTAAAACCCCAAAGAGCAGTAATGCAGATGTAAAATCACGATGGCTAGGGAAAAACTCCCTATCATCCCCCTCTCCCCTCCTCCTCTCCTCTATGTCTCTTCCTGTGTCTGTTCTATTGCTCTCTCACCCCGGGACGCTGTTGAGAAATGATCTTTGTCGGGTATAAAGACGCTCACCGTACAAGAGCTCCACGCATCCTATCTGCCCCCCCCCCCCCCCCACAAAGTGCTGCTGAACAGAACAGAACAGACCGGGCAGGAAAACAGACAGAAGAAGACAAATATATAATGAAAAGCAGCATTGGATTTTTTTGTTATTAACTTAGGAGGAGAAAATACTGAGAATACCCCAAGGAGGGAGAGAGAAAAGGAGAGGGGTGATAGGAGGAGGCAATTAAAAGGGTCTAGTGTCAACACAGGCCTCTTTGGTGGAGACACTGTGGGAGAATGGATGAGAGAGAGAGAAGAGAGAGAGAGAAGAGAGGAGAGAGAGAGAGAGAGAGAGAGAGAGATAGAGAGAGAGAGATAGAGGAGGAGAGAGATAGAGAAGAGAGAGAGAATAGAGAGCGAGAGAGAGAGAGAGAGAGAGAGAGAGAGAGAGTAGAGAGAGAGAGATATATCTCTCCTCTCTATCTCTTCGCTCTCTTCTCTCTCCTCTCTCTCTCTCTACGCTCTCTCTCCTAGCTCTCTCTCTGCTCTCTCTTCTCCTCTCTCTCGCTCTCTCGATATGAGATA